AACAGAGTATATCTTATTCCTACAGATTCACAGGAACATATCTTGGCAGCATGTCTCCATTGAACCCAAATATCAGTATTAATCTTCCAAGGAGCATACTTCGGGAAAAGCTATTTTAGTGTCTATTGTAAATTAAGATTGTGATGATGACACTGGCAATTGCAAGATTGTGAGCAACATACGGACCATGGCATCATCAGAAGACTACTTTCATAATTTATGAATCCCAAAGATATTATCCAACCTTTCACTGCATCTTCTTATTAGAACCAAGCACCAGGATTCCTACAATTTGAAAACACTTCTCACAACATCCCTCGTTTAAATGTCATTTATGGACCTGCCTGATGAGCTTGAATTTAGTAATCTGAAAGCAAACCCTACTGATTGTGCTTAGGAATATTTAAATAAATGATTTCAACCCCTTATTTTAAGCCAATTATTTATTAAAGCACAGGTGCAAACCTATATATGCAGAAGAAGAGCAACTGTGCAGATTGGCAAGGGAACAAGGGAGGCACGGATGGCTTGGTTGCTGATGGATCCATCTAAGCAAAATTAGCTCTTAGCAAGTGATGCCTGTTCTGTGCTACTCCTGGCTTTAGATTCAATGAGCAGCACCAGGGTGCTTGCAGCGCACTAGGGCCCTCCAGCATAGCCAAGGACACCAGAATTCTTCTGTTTGCTTTTGTCATTAATTTTATTCTGCGGGTACTGCCCCGTTGCTAACTGATAATACTATTTAATTTGTGAGAGGAAGAGAAAGCATAGCTCTTACTTCCTACAGAGGGCGAGAAGATGAAAAGAGCCTTGCTGAGCCCCTGTTGTGTAGAGACTGCAAAGGTGTTATTAGATGGAGACAGTGCATAATTCTGATGCTCCTTGCAGCATCAGTGAGCAAATTGTATATGTAGGCAGGTGCTTCTGAATAGCAGAATTGCCATGGCTCTGTGCGGAGGACGAGGTCTGCGTGATGGTTTGGCCCGAAGCCTTTCTCTGAGACAGCTTGATGCAGGCACAGATGTCCCAAGTAGTAATGCGACAGAGCAGCCCTCATGCTGAGAAACACTGTATTGTCTGACTCTTTTCAACACCCTCTGCATATGTTCTTGTATTTTTATATCCATTTTGCTCTGACACTTCACTGATCTTTTTAAATTTGTAAATTAAAAAGAGATGACTCTTTCAGATGAACCTACACCGAATTACCTACTAAAAAAAGGGGCCTGCTATCTAAAGAATGTATAAGCAAAGAGACGACCACCTGATTATCTGGGCTTCCATTAAATTGGCAAACTGGGGACTTTTAAAATACACATGAATCTTGTTTTTATGGTGTTAGGAAGTCACTGAAACCTAATAGTTAGGAGAAAGCAAAAAGCAAAGCTCTGTTTTGAAATAAGGCATTTACAAACAGTTATAGTCATTCTAGGACCTTCCTTCTTTACTACTCTGGGCCAGACCCTTCGATACATGCTAGATGATATGCAAAAAGGAGTGAGACTGCATTAACATATATAGCATCAGATATAACTGGGTTTGAAACCAAGTCTTTCCAAGAAGAGCTTATGCGACTTCTTAACTTCTTTAAACACCAGTTTCCTCAACTTATTTTTTTTTTTAATACATTTTATTGATTTTTTACAGAGAGGAAGGGAGAGAGATAGAGAGTTAGAAACATCGATGGGAGAGAAACATCGATCAGCCACCTCCTGCACATCTCCCACTGGGGATGTGCCCGCAGCCCAGGTACATGCCCTTGACCGGAATCGAACCTGGGACCCCTCAGTCCGCAGGCCGACGCTCTATCCACTGAGCCAAACCGGTTTCGGCAGTTTCCTCAACTTATATAATGGTGATAATGGTGGAACTAGTTTCCTAAGAATGTTATGAAGATCAAGCAATATGTGTAAGTGCTTTATATAGTGGCACATTGTAATTGCTCATTAAATAATGTCCATTATGATTTTTCTCTAAAAGTGAATAATCTGTCAAGAACTTTAAAAGGTAAAATGCTGTCCTTATGCTCATGTATGTGTATCTGTACTGTGTGCTTGTACCTACATGTTTTGTTTTTTAACTTAAAGTGAAGATATGTAAGGGAAATCAACAACATAGTCATCTGAGTTAGAATTTTACCCCTCCGTTCCATTAAAAATGACTTAGAATAAATGTGAATTTGGTTTTCAGTAGTGTTTGGAAGTCACTAAAATGGTGTGGAAAGCAGTGAGAAAGAACTCTGAATTTATAATTCTACTTTTGCCACCAGGTTACTTTGAAGTGAGAATATTCTGAACAGACTTAGAGAGAAACCAGGAAGTACAAGTAACCCAGAAGCTCTGTGCCTGGAGTCATTCATATGTATTTATTCATGCATTCATTCAACTTATTTGATTATCTGGGCTTCCATTAAATAAATACTAATAGCACATCTACCATGACGTCTATGAGCGTTATTAGTTGCAAAAAATAGAGGAGTAAGAGGTAAATCCCTTGTCCTTAAGGAACTTGTAGTCTTGGGGAACAAAAAAGTAAAGAAATGACATTAACTTAACATGAAAAGAATAATAATCAGCACAAATTAGGTTATTTGATTTGCAGAGAAAGTTAATATCTCTCCCTTATTCAACAGAACTGAATGTCTTTATTCATAAATATAAAAAACAACAGCCTGATATTCTGGGATGAGTTCATTTCCACTTACTTTTTTGTTTTACTTTTGCTTGAGATATATTCTCTCTGTTGAGAATGCCCAACCTGGGATGACATATCTTCAATTTTATATTAGCTTTTCATATTTTTTCTGTCAGAACAACCTGCCATTTCATTTATTAAATGCCATCATATACTAGTACATAGGAGAGGATGCATGGAATTTAAAAGTAAAATAATCGCAACCCATATAAGCAGTTATCATCAAATACTTATTTTCTATATGGTCTGGTATTAGGTAAAAGTACGTTTCAAATTTTAATGGCTTAATATAAAAAATAGACTTGAGGTCATCAGCCTCAAATGTAGCGATATTGATCAAAATCAATAGTTATCGCTTTTTCTTTCTCTCCCTCTTGCTTCCTTCTTTTTCTCTTTCTTTCCTTCTTTTCCTCTTCGTTCTTTTTTGATGGTTTTTTCCTTTCAAACTTGCTTGAGTAATAAAATTTATCAAAATAGTCAAGTATTTCTAGTCTCTGAAGCAACTAATAGTCTTATATAAAAGTTAGACCTAAACTTGGATGTTAGCTGTAAAACTTAAAAAACAGAACAACAACAACAAAACAACTATAAACATTTTCAAACAGGAGTGGTTCCCATAAATTCTACAGAGAAGAAGCCACCCTGAGTAGAAAGGCGGTGAGGCCTAGCCCTATTTGCTTCATGGTACCCTACAATGAGTAGTAAAATGAGGGGGTACAGTGACTGTCTAGCAATTTTTAGTAGCAAAATTCTGTTTTTCAAGTGAGCTGTCACAAGTCCCACCCTGACATAAATAGTACAAAATAGAACTGGTCTAGCCAAAACTGAGGGGAGGCGCTGAGTGGGCAGTTCCCTAGTGTACCTGAGGAGCCCAGGACTGCGAAGAGTGGAATTGGAAAACCTTTGTGCTAGGAACTGTGGGCTTCTCTAGTACTAACCGCATGTGACTGCAGGTCCTAAATAAGTCACATGAAATTACACTTTTTTAAAATAAATGTATGCCTTCCATTTGCAATGAAGAAATAACTGAGATTTTCCTTATGCTTGTGACATTTACTTTCTTTTTTTTAATCAAAAAAACTCAGTGACATAGAATTAATCTCCCTGAAAATTATTCATGACCAGAAAGACATTTAGGCATAAAACATACTGCTGTTTCTAGGCTGATAGATGAGGGCTATTGAAAGCAATGTCAATGTGTTCCTTATTTACCTTCTTGATTACAGTATGACCTCCCTTCATAAAACCTCTATTGGCCTAAAATGCAGGTGCCTTTACTCTTAGTTATATTTTCTATGTATTTATGATAATTAATATCTATACATCAGAAAGGATATGTAGCATATTAGAAACAGATAAATATTTGGTCTTTGCATTACTTATTTCGGAAAAGCTTCACACATTTATTTTTAAACTACTGTACTCACTCTGTAGATACCTTATTCATCTATTCACATTAAAGACAGAGAGGGTTCCATTTAAAATGTATAATAGAATATTTTCCTTTCTATGTCTCTCATATAAAACAATCCAAGCTGCTTCTTTCAGCGGTGGCAATTCATTGTACTGCAGATGTCAGGGATCAGAAGTGGATAACAGGAAATTTCCATTTATTGGAGCAGATCTCCCACAATATCATCAGATGAAAAATGGTGAGTTGATCTAGGAAGGGATTCATCCCATTGTTACTTTTGTTACAATGGTAGATGGAGTTTTTTCCTTTACCAATCACAATTCTCAGAGTTCTGACTGTCTGTCCCACACTAGCCTGTAGGTGAGATGGTGGGAAGGGTTGGGAGTGGGAGCCGCGGGCAGGTTTTTGGACATGTTTTCCAGAAGGGACGGTACAGTGTCTGCCATCTTTTGATTAAAGCATAGATAGCTCTGACAATGCTTAGTAGGCATTTATATCTATTGTTGTGGGTCTGATCTTTCTGGAAAAGTGATTCATTGCGGGTAAAGAATCTTCCTTTACTTCCAATATGTCTCAAATTCCCATAGATCAAACTTTTAATACAACATGATAAAATTTACCCATGATGCTTAGGTATCTTAGTCATCTTAGAGCTGTCACTCCATTTTCAAACACTTTGTTTTCAGTTTTTAACACAGCAAATTATATGTCCCAAAAGTAGCCTGAAGGAGCTGTGAAATTCATGGTCCATTTAAAATGAAAAATAAAAACACTGAAATGAATGAAAAGAGCTAAATACTTATTATTGTTAATAAAAAATCATTTATGGAAAGCATGCTTTCTCAGCCAAGTAGTTAAAACATACAAATGATAACCAATAGTATTCAACTCACCTAAAATTTCTAATTCTTCCCAGTGACTGGAGTACTGTGTTAAGAACTTCAGGGGATGCCTTCAATATCAGGAAGAAAGAAGGGCATAATCCATAGAAATGTCTGCATAGCCACAGGAGGAAAATGTGATATATTTAATAAATTTGTCATATTTCATGATTAAGAATTGCTGTTTAAACTGTTAATTTATTTAGTTATCCATGAGTACAGTATTGAAGTATCTTATTTTACTCAAAGTTCTTCAGGACACAATTTTGCTTAAAATTTATCATTTTGGGGATTACATTCTGGTTCTACCATATAGTTTGTGTTAGTGTTGATCTCCAAATTATTTTTCAAGTAACATTTCTTTCATGCTCCAATCAACTGGCATTTGAACACATTTTTTGTGCATTTTAAACCAACCAAAATGGCTTCTTTTGAAAAGTTTTAGCACTGTAGATATCTTTGTAATTAATGAAAAACTAATATTTGAAACGACCACATAGAATACCTCTGTAATTTTAATTATAATTCTATTGTTAAAAACACCATTTATTACATTATTCAATGTCCTACCTATTTTTTTTTAATGTTGAAACAATTTCTCTTGGATCCCAGCATCTGGAACACATTTACATGTATTGACTAATGGGTTTGCTCCTAACCACTAAATAATAAAAGCTACATTTTCCATTTTTGCTCTGGCTGCTAGGAAAGCTAGGTATAAATATCTCCTTCAATTGCTACAGTTTTATTCAAACTTGGGGACTTGATGTAAATGTCTTCTCATTTACAATGCAGTTTTGCCTTTTTTATTGTATTAATGTTTTTAGGTTTATTACACCTATCCCATTTATCCTAAACTCTTTCAAATTGTATTTTGGATATGATTTATGGTCAGGTAAATGTGTATGGCTTTTTCATCTTATTCACACCCTTTATTTTTTCCAACTTCTTTTTTCTATTTATGCTTTTGAATTAGCCTGAGATCCTCTTGAAAGCAAAAACTAAGACAGGGGCCTTTATACAGATAGTTTATTAGAGAAGCCAGACAAGAGAACAGTAATGACGGATGAGAGAGAATGAAACAGAAAAGAAGGGAGAGCCAATTTCTTAGTAATATTGTGCACTGATTTCTGTAGCGGACTACTGAATCTCAATCCAGCCAAGATATTCTGAGGTGTCATAGATGTCAGTGAAAGAAAAGACCAGACTCCTGCTATCATCCATCAAACTGTGCTTCCTAGAGTGTTAACAGCGTTCACACCCATCCCATGCTGCTGTATCCAAGAATCCCCAAGCCAAAATGAAAAATATATCTTGCTGTTAGGTTATACCTGTGAAAATTCATTGCTGCAGCAGTGCTAGAAAAAGAGTGAGCCCAGTGGATATGAAGAAGAGTACAAAGGATGCCTTTCACATTTTTCTGCCTGGTGGGATACCTATGGGGGCATTGCCTGACTTCTCACTAAGACCTGACCCCACTATGTTGTAATCAGTACTGGGGCAGCATACACCTCACCCCTTCCCTAGTGGAGAGAAAACAGTGCCAAACCATTGTATTTACTGAATAGGTCTTTTTTTTTTTTTAAAGGAATCAATTTAATGGAAGGTCATAGGGATATAATTAAGGAGTCCAAAAAAGTTTCCCAGAGGTAAAGACTTAGAATTACCTCATTAGTTTTACTGAGATTTCTGGGGTGGTGAAAATGATTCTTTTTCTGACCTCTCATCTGTCAGACACACCTGGGGTCTGTGTGAATAGGAATTATAGTTTATAACACACTTTGAATGATAGGAGCTGCCAATTAAGTAGAAAGGAAAATGCAAAATCCTGGCTATTGTTTCCTCTAGTTTTCTCTACTGTCTTTACCTCCTACCCAATTCTCAACCTCCAGTAATTTGTCCCCTTTCCTCCTCTGAGAGCTCCTACCAAATATCAAGAAACTGCATGAAGGTATAGTTCACTCTGAGTTCCCACAGAAGGATCCATTGCTAAGCAGGTTTTAGACCTGTTGTCACCCATTGGATCAGTTTACTGGATCCTTCATGGAATGTGGAAACATATGTGACAGCTGTTCCTTCTCTAGCAGATGTTCAAAGGTGGGAAGCGAAAAGCCATTGCCTCAGCAATAGAGTTTAAAGTCTCCCAGATCTAGAGTCTCCCTCATCTAGCTCCAACACATACTGGCTGTGTGACCTTTGGAAAATTTAATTATTTTGCTTGGGAGACAGACACACTCAGTTATGAGGGAACTGAGTATATAATCCTGAAGTTTCCCCAAGGTATAAAAGTCTATTATTTTCTGAAATCAAAGACTGGAAAAGATTATTGAATATTGAGAATTTTTTTGTAATCCTATACTATTTTCTTGGTGAAAATGAAACACAGGTCATTCCATGGTAGCTGTGACTTTAACATGAACAGCAACAAATGCCTACTGAGTTATAAGCACAGCACTAGGTACTGTGTATATATGTCATTGAACCACACAGCTTCTGGCTACATTAAGCTTACAGTCTAAAAAATTAGAGTCCATGGGATATTACAGTGAAAAGCAACTCCTAAAATTTATTAAGGCATTGAGAATATGTTTTAACCCCATCAAGCCTCATGTCCTAGTTTTTAGTATATTGCCAGCTGGTATTGCTCAGTGGTTGAACGTCAACCTATGAACCAAGAATTCATAGTTGATTTCCAATCAGGGCACATGTTCAGGTTATGGGCTCATGTAGGAGACAGCCAATTGATTCTCTCTCATCATTGATGTTTCTATCTCTCTCCTCTCTCTCTCTCTCTCTCTCTCTCCTCTCTGAAGTCAGTCAAAAAAATATATATTTTTTAAAAATGGGGCAGTATATACAGATAACTCATTTTTTATTTTGCTAGTAGAATCAAACATAGGTTGTATTGGGAATTTGACATTAAATTTTACAGTGAAGGTGAATAGATTAATAGGTATATTTGAGGATATAAAGGGTTGATGTCTTTTGAAGATTGAGTAGCCTTTATATTGTCTGGAGAGAATTATGCTCAATGTATTAATTACAATGTGTTAATTAAGATAAACAGTATAGATGAGTATACCACTGAGGATAAATTTCAAATTATCCTAACAAAATAAATCTACTAATGGGTCTTATGAACTTTTAAGTTTATTACCTTGAAAAACTGAGTTACTTAATGCTTAATAGATAAAACATTATTATCTATAAATTGCAGGACAAATTGGGGTCAGTTGGTAAATATGCTATGAGGTCATCAAAAGAAATTTGTGTTTTTACAGTTTTTCATAGAAGTCAGACATGGGTAACCCTATTTCCTGATCTTAAGTTCATATTGCCCTTTGTATTGGAGCCAATGTTTCTTTTGATTTCTAGGGGAGACATTCACTAAATAATAAGACGTTGATTCTAATTTTATCTGAGTTTATTTCTTAGGTATAATTTCACAAATTTACTAGTATTTTTTTTTCTTCCTGTTGCTTCTTTGAACACTTAGTTTACTATATTGGGCTATTCTGGAGGTTGTATACAGGGTGGGGCAAAAGTAGGTTTACAGCTGTGAATACGCGAAACACAGAATTTATTCTTGTATCATTATTTATTAATTATTGTATTATTTTCCATACAAAAAACTTTGAACCTACTTCTGCCCACCTTGTATTTTGATATGTATTTAGAAGGAAAGCCTCCCCTCCAGATGAATCATGAGCAGAATACTGGACACTTTTTTATAAATCCTCATCTGAGGATATGTTTTTACTGATTTTTTTCGAGAGAAATGAAGAGAGAGACAGAGAGAGAAACATTGATTGGTTGCCTCTAGTATATGTCCCACCTGGGGATGGAACCCAAAACTGAAGTGTATTCTCTGACTAGGAATCAAACCCATGACCCTTTGACCCTTGGTGCGCAGGGCTATGCTCCAACCAACCAAGCCACCTGGCCAGGGCTGGATGCTTGCTAACTTCCTAAGGTCACCATCAAATTCTAGAGGCCCTTGTTTTGCCCTGTTCCAGTTACATGCTTTATGAATCAGATGCAATATTGAAGATGAGAGTAAATTTAAGGGAAAAATGATGATTCTCACCCAAGCTCAAAATAACCTCCTTAGGGAAGGAGGGAAAAAAGAGGGTTAATCATTAAATAATCTAGTATATTTCTCTCTTAATCAGACATGTAAGTAAAATTCCTCTTGGGCCTATTTAGAACTTGATGATTATAATCACACAAAATTATAATCAAGAATTTCCATCTTTTATTAATGTAGTTAACCCTGTTATAATAGCTAGTAGGAAGTAGTTTTTTCAAATGATATTTTCCATGTAAGAACCCCCTTCAGAATTACTGCAGTTCTATCATACTGGTCATCTAATACTGTGATGTCAACTAACAGACAATATTTGGTTCAGAAAATATCACACACATTAGATTAGGATTGGGGTTGCATGTGTTAAATTACACTAGGCCAGCCTTTTAAAAAGCTTGATATCAAGTGGAAAACATTTTTGTTATAAGGATAAACTATCTCAAAAGCTGATATTCAGGAATTATAAGGATAAATGTGGTTGGCCCAGTCCTGTCTCTATCAAAATTACTTTGTTTGAAGGCAAGATAAAAGAAGCTGAAATCTCATTTTCTAAAAGTCAGGTCTCTTATATCCATAAATTAATTGAAGCCCAAGGCAGACTGCTGCAGAAATCACCAGGATAAAGGAAATGTTTAATTATTCAACTCTTCTTTTGTTTTGGTCATTTGTCTTGATTGTGTTTTCAATGCCCATAAGAAAGAGCCACAGATCACAAAAAGCTGGATCTAATGGTGGTGAAAAGAGAATTAAATCCCAAGATAAGTGCATTGTTTGCACTGATATAGGCAAATTATAACCTAAGTTACCCCAAATCACTACAAACTAGATTATTTTTTTCTGTTAGTATCAGGAGACCAGGAGATAATGTGAATGTCATGACAGAATATTCTAGGAACCAAGATTTACTCATCTAATTCCAGAAGAGGAATGAGCTAGAGATTATTGGATTAGCAGATGATGATCCTAAGAGCAAACATAATTGTTTTTCTTCTAGATGTGTTTACTAGTCTAGCAGGGAGGAAATAAATAAATGTTTCAATAAATATTCTGTGTATTCTTCACCTGATTTTTAATATAGCCATTTGGCCCAGGCAGCAATAAATTCTCCCTCTGTTTAATCCATAACAATATATTCAGACAATGAATTTTGTAGAGTTTTAAATAAATACTTAAATCCTAATGCTAATGTATATTTTGATAGCCTGCTCTTAGTAAATATAGCTAAAGAATTATTTTGAACAATATTTTTACTTTGGTTTTTAGAATAAGATATGCATAAATAATTAAATTCCTTAATTCTCAACTAGAATCTTTCTTAGTATTTCCTCTAAATAACACCGTTGATATTTCCTCTGAGACATGCAAGGGTTATATTGGCCAGATTGTGCAGGTGAGACATTCTGAGTTTCTCTCTGCTTCTCTCTCCAGAATTGGGAAAGCATCTCAGTTTGCCCTACAATTAAACTCTTCAACAGTCACAGTTTGAGCTTTTCATTTAGCTAATTAGTACTTATTCTTCCAATCGCATTATTGTCACCCATATGGGAGAGGAGCAACAGATTGCATGTCTGTTCCTTTTGATTTTTCTGCTAAACTGTAAAACATGGTGTTTCCTTTCTGGTTTCTTGTCACTGTTCTCTACAACCAAGAGAAATTGTCAGGCAAAGAGGAGGAGTAACTCAATCTCTATGGAAAAGTCTTGATGTACCTGCCTTGACATGTTTGAACATGGAGGGCTCACCTATACAAAACAATGTGTGTTAATTAAGAATTCTCATGACAATAAAGGTAGCAGGCAAATTGTTTTCTGGAAATCACTGATGGCCAATGCCCTGTGTATACATCCCTACATTTGTGTATATAAATGTGAATTACAACAATAGCTAAGTTATTTCACCTTGCTATCTGTTTTGAAATAGTAAAACTGTTTTAGATGATATTTTTTGTTTATTATTGATAACAGATAAATTCTTATCTCAGCTATATAGGAGCAGTTATTTATTAATCAATTTCCAGGCAGCAAGGCTCACACAGATGGGACTTTTGAAGCAAATCCAATAAAAGGACAGTCTATAAAGGAGTGAACAGAAGATAAGGAAACCAGGAAAAGGTGTAGAAGCACTCACAGACTATTGGAAAGTGAAAGGCATTACCACCTCTAAGCCTAAAGAAGCAAGGAGAGGAAATAGTGCTACTTGTGCCAGGTGAGAAGAAAGGAACATAAGCAAGATGGGAGCAGAAATACCTTGGCCTCTACTTCTACTCTTAATCTTTATTCACTGCCTGATACAGGGAAAGGAGGTAAGTATTGGTGTACAAAGTGAGAAGAAATAAACTTGTTAAATAAAAATACCACTAATGACCTGGCTGGTGTGGCTCAGCAGTTGAGCGTCAACCCAGGAACCAAGAGGTTACCAGTTCAATTCCCAGTCAGGACACATGCTCTGGTTGCAGACTCGATCCTGAGTAGGGGGTGTGCAGGAGGCAGCCAATCAATAATTCTCTCTCTCCCTCTCCCTTCTTTTCTGAAATCAATAAAAATGTATTTTTAAAAAACATTAAAAAAACATAAACAATGCCACTAATGGAGTATAACCTGAGACTATTGTAAAATTCAATTTTACCTTGTTGGCCTGTGTTGTTCAGTTGTGGTCAGAGATGAAGATGATGTAAATTTCAAGCATCATTCTAGGATATAGCGAGCACTGAATCAATTTCTGTTGAATAAAGAAATGGGAAATTTGAATCATCGATTAGAACTTTTCAAATTTAAGTTATAACGCTTTGGTTCTAATTTGACAATATAATAATTTTTATATTTCTAAAACTATTCTTTATAAAATCATTATTTTTCTTCCCAGTGCCTGATTCTAATCCTAGAGTTAAGCAATCCATATCTCTAAACTCACTGAGTTATGTGGGCCTCATATTTTCCACTTTCAACCCAGAATGCATAATTCAGATCCACCAGGTGCCCCTTAAAAGAGGCTGGAGGAATCCCATTCCTGGTCCTTGCATTCCAAAGCAGAGGAACACATTAGTATTGATAGAGTTGCACGATACCTAAATGAAGTATTAAACATCATATTTCTTTCTGTTTTATTCCAATAAGGGAATACTTTAAATTGGAAACTGGCCTTGTGTCAAGGTAGAGACAGTCATTTTCTGTGCTGGAAATACAGTTAGATATAAAAGTGAGAGAGATTTCAATGCAGTGAGAATGAAAGGAGCCTTTTTGATAGATTATGAGCTTCTCTGTAGGCTATTCTGTAAATATCAGCTGATAATAGTAATGCCCATTCAGCGAGTGCTTACTGTGTAGCCAGGAGGGACTGGAGGGGCTTGAAATAAGTTCTTTCTCCCCTACCATTTGAACCTCACAGGTTTTAACCATGTTTTAATGATAATAAAATCAATAAAAATAACAGCCACTATCTAGTAGGTGCCTAGTACAGCCTCATTGGCATCCTCTCAATTATCCAAACAATTTTCTAAAGTTGGCATTAGTATAACATTTTACACATCAGATACCTTGCTCAAGGCTACATAGTGAGAGAAGTAGAGGACATGGTGAGTAAGTAATAGAGTGTAGTTGGAGCCAGGTTGTCTGATACCCAAACCTTTGCTCTCAACCATACACTGACAACTCTCTTCTGACTCTCATTTGATTTAATACAATTTTGGCTGAGATTAGCAGAACTCACGTCCCCCACTTGGCCTTGCAGGGTGCTCTAGAACAATAAAATGTACAATGAGAAAGTGAATTTTTGAACAAAACACTGCCACTGTTGAACAATAGAGAGTGTATTGTCATTCTACTCCATATTCTTGTTCCACTCATGCATATTTTCAAAATGTAGCCAGAATCATTCAACTTGACCCATTGCTACCTTTAAATAGAGTCAGCTCTCTCACGCAGCTCTGAGCAGCAGCATGGGTGAAAAAAACCCTAATTGGTCCAGGTAATTCTTGCTTATTTTGACTGCTGTTTTCCATATTAGTTTTTAGTCTCTAATCTAGTGGCACATTTGGCTTTATTTTGCCTTCCTTTTCTAGCTTAGTAGAATAATTCTCCCTCTTTTTTTAAAAAAAATTTATTTTTAGAGAGAGAAGAAGAGAGAGAAACATCGATTTGAGCGAAACATAGGTCGGCTGCCTCCTGCACTCCCACAAACCATCTACTGGGCATCACGCCAGCAACCCTGGCATGTGCTTTGGCTGGGAATCGAACCAGCAACCTTTTAGTGCACTGGACAACACCCAACCAACTGAGCCACACAGGCCCTGGTGAATGAGTCTCCCTCTCAAACTTTGATTGTCTCATCTTCTCATGTCATCATTGGTAACCGTTTTGAAGGAATGCACTCTCTTCTAAGTCTGGCCACTCAGATGCTTCCTTCCAACCAAGCCAATCCCCAGTGTAATCACAGGGGGCAAAGTTAGTTCTAACTTTTTAAAAAGGAAAAACCTTTACAGAATTAGACATATATAAGTATGTCAATTTCCACCTATTCTCTTCAAACGAAGTTTAATGAGTTTTTGTTCTATAACAAGTATTTTGATCCCTAAATTTCTATCGAGGGTTCTGATTTTACATATATCAGAGAACAAGACTTCTTGTAGAATGCTTTATAGTAAATAGTCCATTAATTTCTAACAATGCTTAATAATAATTTTTAATATAGGCAAAGAGAGGAAGGTCTCAAAAAAAGATCTAATCTACATACTCACCTCACGAATTCTAGAATGTTAGAGCAAGTGATGTAAAAACAAATAAACTTGCAATTAAGAGAGACAGCATGTTCAGTGGTTAGGCACATGAGCTGTAGGGTCAAATCTCCTAGGCTCAGATTTCACCTTGTAGTAGCTACTAGTTGTATGACTTTAGACAAATTTCTCAACCTATCTTATCTTTTGTTTTATCTGTAAAATGGCAGTTATTATAATTATAGCACCTAGCAGATAGGGTCTTTAGGAGAGTTGAGTGATAAGACATTAAAGCATGGGAAACTCTTAAGAGTAATACCTAGCATAGGAAGTACTTGATACATGGCAGCTGTCATTCTAACCAGCAATTAGCTATGTGACTATTGGAAGTCACAGACCTCAGGAGCTCACTGTCTTCCTCCTGAATCAGCATCGGGCTTTGATCTAGATGTCCCTGCTGTCTCTGATAAAATATCCTCTCACTAGAAATAGGCTCCCTTGACCAAATGGTGATCAGTTGAATTCTCTGACTGGTGGCATCTCACACATTTTAACATTTCTAAGCTCTAGTGTGAATCTCTTCACTCTTATTATTCCCCATGCATGATTCGAAATGTACTACCATTTGTCGGGTAGCTGCAGTAACTCCTGAGGAACCTCATTCTGTCACTAGAGATACAGCCTTTGAGGATTTGTCTGTGCCGTGTGTCACATTTTGCAGCCTTCACTTTAATTGCTCAGCCAGAGTGGTTGTCTTCTAAAGAGAGGTCATCCTAAAACCTACACAGGTAACGTATTTCCCTCTCTTCTCCTGTACTCTCTTTATGGGCTCCCTTCTCCTTTAGGATTAAAGACAAAAAATCATAGAGAGGAGCCATTCAAAATCCATGCCCCTTTGGAGCATATAATATTTGAGTTCAACATGGGAGGCAGGCAGATGTAATATCCTGATTCCACCACGTATTCACTGTACAATGCAAGGCATTTTCCTTGATATCTTTGAGCCTCAGTAAATAAGGGATATTATGAGGGTGAATTAAATGAGATGATGCCTCTAATTGTATATAGTAAACTTTCAAAAGTGGTATCAATTCTCACTGTTCTTCCATGTTTCCTCTCTGCAACTATGTCAAGATCTTTACACTCATGTATTTATCAGTCTATTCTCCACTCCCTCCCCCGGCCCAAAAAGCACATCCTCTTAGTGATCTACTCTGAATCCTACTTCACCACCTCATATGCTCAGATTGTGTACCCTGCTTTTCTCATTAGAACACTTCTGCTTTGGTAATTTTCCATGTTCCTTTCAAAACACTTATTCCAATCCCTCTGCTTGATTATCTGCAGCTCCACACAATTGAAAGCAATTACCATTCAATTCTGTGCTAATGTACAGGAGTACAGCTTCAGTAGCTGCTCTCACTTGCCATAAAGGCCACTTCTCTGAAACACGAGGAGAGCTCCTAGAGCCGCTGGTGAGACTGAGATTGGGGCTGATGTAAAACCTGCCCAGCTGCCTGGGACGGATGCTCCCAGCACAATCAGCTCATTCCAAAGCCTGAGGGTTCGGAAGCTGAAAGGAGTCCCTGGTACCAACCAAGAGGGAGAGAATCTAAACAAAGTACCCAAGTCAGGCGAGGTGGCGAGCGCAGAATAGAATAATGCTTGAGGATATGGGTTTTAGAATCAGACAGGTTTAAGGTCAAATCCAAGCAACACTGCTTTCTACCTGTGTGACCTGGAGCAAGTTATTTTAACTTTTCTGACTTTTGTTTTATTGATTTAAAAACATGAGGATTAACAAAAGAGTACCCACTTTTTAAAGAGATTCTATGCAAATGGCATAATGCATTTGAAAGGGCTTAATAAATTGTCTGGCATATTATATTATTATCATCATAATTATTATAAACATATATAGCTGCAGCGGTACGTACGTACATATGTGAAGTTGTGTAAACATATATGTACACATACATCTTCAGCTGCATGTAATATTTATAATTATGATAGTAATAAAATGTACCAGACAACAATTATATAAAATATTCATTCATCTCCTTCTCTACTGCCGTGATGCCTCCTTAAGAGGCTGTTACGCCCTCCCTGAAATAAAAACAGCTTTTAACTGGTCATCCTGCTCTGCTCCGGCATCTTCCTACGCTATTTCCAAAAAGCTGTTAAAGTGTTTTTTTTAAAACATGTAAACTACATCATGTCACTCTTCTAGTCAAAATGACTTTCCATTGCATTTAGGAAAAACTCTGCTCTCTGACAAGTCCTCCTCGTGTGGTATCTCTTCTCCCCGCCCCTCAGCTACATTTCAGCCCCATTAGGCTTGCAGGTCCGGGTGACCTCTCTCTTCCCTACCTGAGGGCCTTCGCACGTGCTCTTCAGCAAACCACGTGCTTGTTATCACATTCCATTTCTTCAGGTCTCAGCAATGTTTCCTCGGAGAGATTTTTCTTCACCTCCCAGTCTTCATTCCCCTTTTGCATTCCTCTGTAGCACTGTGAATTTCCCTTTAAAAAAATATTTTTATTGATTTCAAAGAGGAAGGGAAAGGGAGAGAGAGAGATAGAAACATCAGTGATGAGAATCATGGATCGGCTGCCTCCTGTAAGCCTCCTATTGAGGATGGAGCCTGCAACTTAGGAATTGAACCATGACCTTCTGGCTCATAGGTTGATGCTCAATCACTGAGCAACACCAGCCAGGCTGAATTTTCCTTTAGAAAGCTTATCCCTATTTGCATTTCTAAATTTATGTGTTGGATTCTCTTTAATATCTGCCTCATGACCAGTCTGTAAGTACAGTGAGCACAGGACTCATATCTATTTTGTTCATTTCTTCAAACCAAGTCTCTAACCCAGAGTCAGACACATGGCAGATGCTTCAGGAATATTTGGAGAATCAGTATTGAGTGAAAATGACAAATATAGGCAGGAAGCTCTTTCAGCTCTTGCCTTATCATACTTAACACCCTCAGCAGGATCTTCACAGTAGCAGTAGCTATGGTGGGAATTACTGCTGTGTGCCAGCCCCGTGTTACACTTTTTTATGTATGTTCTATTTAATCTTCAGCATCATCCTACCATACTTTACAGACAGAGCAGGCAAGAAGTTCTAAGTAGCCCTAACTGGTTTGGCTCAGTGGATAGAGCGTCAGCCTGGGGACTGAAGGGTCCCAGGTTCGATTCCAGTCAAGGGCATGTACCTTGGTTGTGGGCACATCCCCAGTAGGGGGTGTGCAAGAGGCGGCTGATCAATGTTTCTTTCTCATCGATGTTCCTAACTCTCTATCCCTCTCCTTTCCTCTCTGTAAAAAATCAGTAAGATATATTTTTTAAAAAAAGAAGTTCTAAGTAATGCTATTAGAAGCATGGATTCTTAAAGTTACTCATAAAAAGGTGATAAAGACCTTGTCTTACATTTCTTCAGTACTCAAAGAGCTCAGGGATACTCTGGGATAGGCCCCAGAAGTATTACTTTGTATTCACTCAATGATCCAGTTTGAAACTTGCACTCAAGCATTCCCATCCATGTTTCCCTTATCTTAGGAGACTTTAAAGTATTTTGAAGATACTAGTCTCATGTGATGGGTGACAATAATAGATCTAATCCCTCATAGGCTACAAGAGTAGGTTATCAAAGATAGCTATCAATCTCTTTAGAGATTGCTTTAGCTGAGGAGAGCTGCTTCAACCAAGATCATATGCTTCCCAGAGAGACCCTCATCTAATGATGGACAGAGGCAGGGATATAAAGGTCCAGCTATTACGACTCCAAAGGGCCATCTCTGACGAGCTATTTTAGCTCCCAAGCTTCCCCTGGGTTGGCGGAAGACGTCACCCAGCCTACCTCGCAGTGTGATTCCTCCTTATGCCCATTCCTGATTCTTCCCTCTCCCTCCCAATGAGGATGATGATGGTAGATGTGGTAGTTGCCTCCCAATATCTATTATACACTTTGCATTTGATAATATAATTCCAAATTTTAGATGGGAATATTGAAGCTAGAAGAATTTATTTCCTAAAGTAATGATTTCCTTGCAAGTTGATATAGCCAAGGCACTATGTTTTGGTCAAGAAAATGTAAGAAAAATGGTTTTTTAAATTTTATTTTTCAACTACAGTTAACATTCAATATTATTTTGTATTAGTTTCAGGAGTACAGCATAGTGGTTAGACAATCATATACCAAGTATTCTCTCCGATATTTCAAGTACCCACATGTCACCAAACAGAATTATTACACTATTATTGACAATATTCTTCCTATGCTGTGCTTTCCATCTCCATGACTCTTCTCATAATTACTAATTTGTACTTCTTCAGCCTTTTCACCCAGTCCCCAAAACCCACTCCCCTCAGGCAACCATCACTCTGTTCTCTGTACCTATGAGTCTGTTTCTATATTATTTGTTAATTTTATTCTTTAGATTCCACATATAAATGACATTATATGGTATTTTTCTTTGTATGACTTATTTCACTTAGCATAGTAGCTATATGGTCCATTCATGCTGTCACAAATAGTAAGATATTATTCTTTTTTATGGCTGAGTAATATTCCATTGTATACTCTCTAGGACAGTGATGGCGAACCTATGACACGCGTGTCAGAGGTGACACGTGAACTCATTTTTTGGGTTGATTTTTCTTTGTTAAATGGCATTTAAATATATAAAATAAATATCAAAAATATAAATCTTTGTTTTACTATGGTTGCAAAGATCAAAAAATTTCTATATGTAACACAGCACCAGAGTTAAGTTAGGGTTTTTCAAAATGCTGACACGCCGAGCTCAAAAGGTTCGCCATCACTGCTCTAGGAGATGGAGCAACATGCTAAGCATGGCAGCAAAGCAAAATAAGATCCTGGAAATTGATACACACAAAGCTACAGCACCAGTCCAAACTATCTACTACTAGGTTTTTCTTTCAGGAAAAAAATAAACTTCCATTATTTAAGCAACTTTTGGGAAAGGTTTTTGGTTTAGTTTTTTATTTATAGCTGAATCTAAACTAAAATAATATACAAGAGCTATGGGGTAGAGGGATACTGACAAAGGGTAGAAGCAAAGGAGATTTCCAACATGAAAACAAACATTCCAGGAAAAAGTAAAACATGTTTATTTGGCCTAGAGAGCCAATTGTTCAGATAAATGCATGAAAGCTATTTCCAAGAAAATACCTGGAACTCATAATTCATCTGATATGTTTGATTATCAAGAAAATTGTACTGAGAGGCATTTTATTTATTTATTTATTTTTTAATTTTTTTTTTAATTAAATCTTTATTGTTCAGATTATTACATTTGTTCCTCTTTTTTCCCCCCATAACTCCCCTCCTCCCAGTTCCCGCCCCACCCTCCGCCCTCACTCCCCACCCACTGTCCTCATCCATAGGTGCACGATTTTTGTCCAGTCTCTTCCCGAATCTCCCACACCCCTTTCCCCCCCAAGAATAGTCAGTCCATTCCCTTTCTATGTCCCTGATTCTATTATAATCACCAGTTCATTCTGTTCATCAGATTATTTATTCACTTGATTCTTAGATTCACTTGTTGATAGATGCATATTTGTTGTTCATAATTTGTATCTTTACCTTTTTCTTCCTCTTCCTCTTCTTAAAGGATACCTTTCAGCATTTCATATAATCCTGGTTTGGTGGTGATGAACTCCTTTAGCTTTTCCTTATCTGTGAAGCTCTTTATCTGACCTTCAATTCTGAATGATAGCTTTGCTGGATAAAGTAATCTTGGTTGTAGGTTCTTGGTATTCATCACTTTGAATATTTCTTGCCACTCCCTTCTGGCCTGCAAAGTTTCTGTTGAGAAATCAGCTGACAGTCGTATGGGTATTCCCTTGTAGGTAACTGAGTTTCTTTCTCTTGCTGTTTTTAAGATTCTCTCTTTATCTTTTGCTCTTGGCATTTTAATTATGATGTGTCTTGGTGTGGTCCTCTTTGGATTCCTTTTGTTTGGGGTTCTCCGCGCTTCTTGGACCTGTAAGTCCATTTCTTTCACCAGGTAGGGGAAGTTTTCTGTCATTATTTCTTCAAATAGGTTTTCAATATCTTGCTCTCTCTCATCTTCTGGCACCCCTATAATTCTGATGTTGGTACGCTTGAAGCTGTCCCAGAGGCTCCTTACACTATCCTCGCATTTTTGGATTCTTTTTTCATTCTGCCCCTCCGGTTGGGTGTTTTTTGCTTCCTCGCATTTCAAATCATTGACTTGATTCTTGCGCTCCTCTGGTCTGCTGTCGGGAGTCTGTATAATATTCGTTATTTCAGTCCGTGTATGCTTAATTTCTAGTTGGTTCCACAATATAAGATCGAGGGTCTCATTAGGTTTCTTGTAGATCTCATTAAGTTTATCGGCGGCTTCTAAACAGTTCTTGAGAGACCTTAAAAGTGTGGTTCTGAACTCTATATCTTCCATTGACAATTTTGTCCTGTTTCTTTGTCTCCGCATTTTGTTATGCTTCCTTGGTGCACACCCTAGTGGTCTTTGTTCGCAGTCTTATAGTTAAATCTTGATTGTTGTAGCTAATTCCAGGGAGGGTTTGACCTCCAGGCCAAGTGGCTATGAGAATCAGCTGTGTCAGCAGTGAGAGAACTTCTGTCCTCTAGGGAGGTGCTAATCTGGCGTTTGCCTGAGGCTATCCGGCAAATGCCTGTGTGCAGGGCTTGGGCGGGGCGGGTCGCACAGGATCAACAGGGTGGGCCGGAGAGAGCAGTTATGGCGGCTCTCAGTCCTGTCCCCAGGGGCTCTGCCTCTCTGAGTCCCAGCACCCGCTGCAAAGCTCAGAGAGAAAGCTGCACTCGCTCTGACCGAAGCCAGACAGTCCCGCTTCTCCCGTTTGAGTCTGGGTCCCTAAAGACTCGCCCGGATCTGGAGCTCAGATTCTGCGACTCCCTCCCGATTGAAAATGCCAACTGCGCCCTCCGCCGCCAGCCCGCTCCGCGCACTCCGCACCTCAGAACTTGACTTCAGCACTGCGCCTCCTCTGGGTGTCCGTATGCGTTTCTCTTTCCTCCTAGTTGTAGGACTTCCACTCAGCCAGCGTTCCTGTGGTTCTGGGTGATGTCCCCTCCGTTTTTTGGTTTCACTTTTGAAGTAGTTGTTCAAAGCAGCAAACTCCGGCGTTAACCTATGCCGCCATCTTGGTTCTCTCAGGATCTGTACTGAGAGGCATTTTAAAGAGCTATTGGAAACTGAAGAAAACTTAGATCGTCAAAAACATCTAAGTGAAAAATAAACAAACAAAATGTTAGGAATTTAGTAGCTACCGAGGAAATGAATTGTATAAGAAATCAAAAGCATCATAGCACTTTACCTGGTATAGCATAAACATCAATTATGTAGTTGTCACAGTGAAAACACTGAATATTCTTTTAATTAAAAGTTGAAATACAGTAGTCCCGACTTATTTGTGGTTTTGCTTTCCTCAGTTTCAGTTTCCAGCAGTAAACTGCTGAAAATATTGAATGGAAAATTCCAGAAATAAAC